TCGCTCTTACTCAGGAGGTCATCATCAGGGGGATGTGAACAAAGCAACAGCAACCGAGAAGGGGAGGGGTGAATGCAAGGGCTATGGTCAGGTCATCTCACAGCGTGCGTCATTGGCTGGGATTTGGGTTGGGGGAGGGTGTCGGCGAGAACGTTAAAGCACGTAAATAATAGGAGGGCAATAAAACATCGAACATCCTGATATCATAATGCGAATAGTCTACACGCGGCCACAATGCCAGCGTTTGGTGCACATACAATTGTACTAGTGCTAGATGTACTGGGGTAGACAGTGGGAGAGGGAGAGGGGGAACACGAAATGAAGCAATAAAATAGGCGAGGATAGATGTTCTGAGGTGCAGAATGGCCCAACCACTGTTGGGAAGGCTCCTTGATTGCTGGGCAGCACAGAAAGGCATTTAGCAAGACCGCCCAAATCGAGGATATCAGGTTTGTGCTGTTTATTTTTTACTTCTGCGGGAGCTGTGATCTTGGCTTAGGTTTAAAATAGGAACAGGCACTGACAATTCATCCGTAGTAGACGCCTCCTGATCGACTGGGTGAAAGGGAAGTGCACAGATGGTAGCACCTAGGCTGCAGGCACCGGAAGTCGTCCTTGAGATGGCGTGGGCCTCGATGAGGGCTAACCACAATTCGGCTGTGCAAATGTAACCAATTGGTCCGTTTGTTTCGATTGTCTACAACGGCAGAAGTTCCGAGTTTAGACACTGAGACGAATGAAAACGAGATATGTCCGATTCGACACCAGGATTTTCACAGAGGGGGACAAAGTCCTCGTCTGTTGGCGCTTCGGTTAGATCGCCATAAGCCAGCAGCCTGCAATCAAGAGAGACAGTAGAAATTCTATTCTCTGCCTCTTCGTTCGTAAGTGCCAGGGGCAGTTTCTTTTGCAGCTGCTGCTCGCGCTTGCGAGAATAAGGCAGAAGCGAGTCAGGCATCTCGTCTACCGTCTCTTGACTGGCAATTGGGGGCTGCAAATCCATCTCCACAAAAGACAAGAGACGATCAGTGGACAAATGACGCAGGTACCGGTACCGCCTTCGAAGACCCTGATTCATCGGGTAGCACTACCTTTGCACAACATTGCCCGAACTTCATTGCAGCAGCTCACAGTTATCAGATAACACCAATTCACACTATGGAGATATACAGGGTGTCCACGAAGTCTGGGTACATAGGGGATAAATACATACCT